CACTTGTTCCACACAGGGCAGTGGATGCTGCCTCTGTACAGGGACACAGCATCAATTTGAGATTGGTGGCTGAAGCCAACAGAGGCATTTGCTTATTTGCCTTAATTACAGTATTTATATACTTAAGCATAGTTCTCATTAGACTATTTACAAATGGTTATAGTAATGCTAATTGTTTGGTTTGGAAAGTACAATCCAAACAAGTATTTCTAAACACAACTGAAGTCTCAATTTTCCATTGAGAAAAGCATTCAAACAACATTGTACCCCATTGTAAAACCCTGTAATTGTGAAGAGGAGTTCAAGCAGTGTCCCGCACAGGGGTGCATGGAGGCAGGTGTCAGACCACTTTCCTACATTAGAGGTGTTGAAATTGCTCCACCTCTTCCCTCCCCTCTATTTATCACAGATGATTGCACACAATCAGAAAATTCAGAGTTGGAGGGCACCCACAATGATCAGCAAGCCCAACTCTTTAGGGAACAGCCCTTGCAGGGATCAAACCCACAACCTTGGCATTGTTAACACCGTGCTGTAACACCACTTTGCAGGCTCAGGAGGACTCCAGCCTGGACGGGGCCGTGCCGATCCCTTTGGAGAGCGGCAGCGGGGAGGAGGAGCTGGAGCGCGTCATCCAGGCGGTTGTAGACAACGTGCACTGGCAGATGTCCCTGGACAGGAAGACCACGGCACTGAAGCAGCTGCAGGGCCACATGTGGAGGGCAGCCTATGCCACTGGGCACGTCAAAGGAGAGTGAGTAACTGTGTGAGTAGTTGTGTGCCCCCTCCGGGGGGGGCAGGTATGGTGGGGCATCTTTACTAAAAGTTGCAAAATAGCTGCATAAGCTGTTCCGGAACAGCCCCGCTTACAAATACAAGTAGCATCACTAGCTCAGCAGATAAGCCGGTATTTGAGAGATTTCTTGGTAAACCAAGAGTCTAAGACACAAGTATGAGCTTCTTACAGTACTCCATCTTGCATTTTTTATCCCCAAATTACACTCTTATTTTGGAACAAGTATAAACAAACAAGGGTTGTAGGGTCAGACCCTTTCAGTTGTTTCCTCCTGCTTTGTGTTTTACCTGTGTGTTTCCTGCCTTTCCACTTCTTTTTGTCTTCAGTTCCTTTTTATGTTTCAGCCACAACACAGGAATGCATAAATAGGGACAACTGAAATTAAGCTTGATCTTCTTATTTAAGAGATACTTGGTTAAACTATGCATTTCAGGTCTCTTAAGTAAGTAAAACAAGCCCATAAATTCACAAAGTGTTTTGTCAAATGAGGAAGAAGAAAATGAGTTCACAGAAAAATGTAAATATCCATCAGAGAAAGTAACAAAACCCAAAAACAAGTCAAGAGAGGCAGATATCCTGTTGGTTTTCTTTTTAAAAACAAGGCTAAATTGCTGTACAGTGACCCAAAAACCGTGGAGAAAGCTGCCTGCTTGGCTGCATCCAAGGAGTGAGATCTCTAAAATCTCCTTGCCCAGCTCTGCAGCACCTGCTGCTGAAAGAGACTCCCTGCTTCCAGAAGCCCTGAGCAGATTGAAAATGAAGTCCCTTTGCAAACTAATGGGACTAAACTGTGACAGTGCCTGGCTAATGATGTCCCTCCAGGTGCCTCTGGGTTTGCCCTTACCTGCTGCCCTGTTTTGCTCCAGAATCTTTGAGGATGTTGTTCCAGCCATCCGGAAGTGGCGGGAAGCAGGGATGAAGGTCTATATCTACTCTTCAGGCAGCGTCGAAGCCCAGAAGCTTCTGTTTGGATACTCTACAGAAGGTGATATCCTAGAGGTAGATAACCTTACCACCTTCCTTACAGCTTCTCCCCCTGCAGAGCACTGCCCTCACAACCTCCCTTGCTGTAACACCTTGTGAATGAATTCTGAGACAGGAAGATGGGGCAGTGGGTTTGATCCATGGGAACTCAGCTCAGTTGACTGTGAGAGCATGGCTGCACCAACCCCTCATTACTGTGGCAGAAAGGGAGGGGGGGAGGTTGATCCCTGCTCTTCAGGTGACACTCAGCAATGGCCTGTCCTTCTCTCTTTCAGCTCTTTGATGGCCACTTTGATACCAAAATAGGCCCCAAGGTAGAAAGTGAGAGCTACAGGAGGATTGCTGCCAGTATTGGGTGCGCCACCAACAACATCCTCTTCCTGACAGATGTCCCTCGAGGTATGTGACCTGCCAGTCCTACTGGCTCTCACCTGTGCAGGGGAGGCAGGTGCTCTTCAGAGGTGTGCTGCTGACTTCTCACAAGCACCCCAGAAACACTTCAGCACCTTCCCTCTAGCTGCTGCCATCCTCCTTTACACACCCGGGCCTGCACGTAGCCATGGGATGTCCGTGTGCAGCGCTGCAATGAGGGAAAATAGGTCAAGTAGAAAACCTGCCTTTGCACTAACCAGGAAAGAGAGACTGCCGAAGCAGAGCTGAAGCATGCCCCATTTACAAACAGGGTCAGTGGTTTGGCCGGCACTCAGGGGAAATGATGGTGTTTGCTGTGTTGCTACATGGCTGGTTCTTTGTGCCAGTCATGGTTAGGCTGTGTTCAGCAGCACGAAAACATTGCTTCAGGTTGCCAAGACTTGACCCCTGGAAAGTCAGGCTTGAGAAGCTAATTTAATTTCCTGCTTTTGCTGGAAACGTCTTTCTGGCAGAAATGGCACTGGGTCTCAGTCTAAGCCAGCTCAGTCCATGGAGTTAGTCCTTACCTCCTCCCCAGCCTTGGCAGCAGAGCTGGTGGGAGCTTGTAGTTGCCTCCTTTTCCCTGGATCCAGTAGCCTTTTGTGCTCAGAGAGCTAAAAAGCAGCTTGTGAGAAGTGACTGGAGGAGGGGAGTGTTTGACTCACAAATGCCACAGGATGACCGCAGCCTCATGACAGGAATGGAGCTGATGGTGTGTGCTGCCTGCAAGGTGCCTTGGACAGCCATCAGCTGGCAGAGGCGAGGGGATGGTGAGACAGCCAGCTCCTGTTCATTCCTGCAGCTACAGCCATCCACAGCAGGTCTGCCAGGGGCTGGTTCCTCTCTAGAGCCCTGCCACGTCCAAACACTGCTTTCTCATTCTCAGCCTTTAAAAGCACCTGAGTGTTTTGGGGCATCCTCAAGCCTTAAGAACCCTGATGTGAAGAGGTCAGTAAGCAGCTCTCACCTCCACTCTCCTCACTCTGTTTGTTTCAGAAGCCAATGCAGCCGAGGAGGCAGACACTCACGTGGCTGTGGTGATCAGACCAGGCAACGCAGGACTGACAGACGATGAGAAATCCTATTACAGCCTCATCTCATCTTTCACTGAACTTTTCTTGCCTTCCTCCACTTAGGGAAAGCGGTGCACGCACAAAAGACTGTGCTTCACCTAATTGTCCTTGTGAAATGTTAGGTAATTTTGTCCATAATCAGAATTTCAAACCAAATCCACATTATGTCTTGGGCCTCATGCAGGCAGGTATGGATGGAGAGTGTGGTGTGGGGTCCCTTGTGCAGTAGGACAGAGGCCTGCTGCCAGCTGGAGCTGGGAACAGGGCAGGGAGCAGCATCCATGAGCCCTGCTGTTCCTTCCCTTTCCTGGCTAGCGGTTAGCTAAGGGAATGCTTCCTTCAGACTCATCCTCTGAAATCTGATGCTGAGAGGCCCAACTGTGAGCTCTGTCATTTTTAGAAGCAGTCTGCAAACAAGGTTTATGTCCCCTTGTCCCAGAGGGAGTGCTGGGGACCAAGGAGGGATATGTGAGCTTCTACCTGCAGATAGGATTTCTGGCTAAGTCAAAAATATTCACAGTTAGGATTCTCAAAGGAAAATGCCAGCTGTAATACAGTAGGTTTGGGCTGCCACAGAAAGAGCCAAGCTCTTTAGACAAGGAACAATGTGTATCTTGGCTGTGTCTGCAGCAGCTCTAGGTACCAAACAGCACAACTTGCATATGGAAGCTGCTTAGAGCTCCACAGCCAGCCTAACCCAGAATGGAGTAGAGTATATATAAATACAGCTTTAAAAATTAAAACGTGGACACACTTCACTGCTGCATTGGGCTGTGGGATACAACTTGACAGCATTTCTGAAGTATCTCGGCACTGACCCATGGAGCTCCTCCTCCAGCCAGCATCACCCAATCACATGTTCATAGCACTGGTCAGCTGTGGGCAAACCTTGACAAACTGCTCCTGAGGGCAGACATCCTGCTGCATCTGATGAGAATTAACCCCCTGACCTTTCCACCTTACCTAAATTATGCTAATGTGGTAAATAAAACCATAACTTTGCTTTCATTGTGTTCACTCCATCACAGCATTTAGTCTTCCTGTCTTAACACCTGTGATCCCAGCACCTAAAAGGCAAATTTTATTATTTCTAAACCTGTGAACACTGTGTTCCTGCTTTCACCTTCCCCAGTCCTTTAAAGCAGCAGCCTTGTCCTGCCAAGGAAGCTGTACTACCTCCCTGACTATTTTAGGATTTAATTTCTGGCTCAGTGCAGGAGTGAGAGCCACAGGTAGGTTATACCTGGTAGTAGTGGAGTCAGAGGCAGTCTGAAATCCCCATGTCCCCATTCCCTGCTGCTGGCACTTCATGCACAGGTGTCTTGTCCTGACAGCCAGACAGAATATTAATATGTGCATGCTGCCTTCCTGAGCTCTGATCTACACCTACAGCTGTCCCTGTGGAGGGAGGCTGATGGGTAAAGAACAGGAGACAGGCACTTGGAGAGGAAACCACATTGTGCCAGCATGGCCTTTCTAAAAATTTAATAGTAGCAGGTCAGGCTGTGGGGCAACTAGTCCAGATGCCTTTCTGGGCTGGGCAATGGCTGTGATCCTGCTCCTAGAAAGAGCCTGCTAATTAGTGCTGTTACAATAAGTGTATCTGCATGGCTGAATGGTCCCTGGCTTAAGTGATAATGTTAATCATTACACTGTAAATAAATACTCACCTTTTGTTTTGCCTTTGCCATCAGAAAGCTATGCTTGGGATAGGGACAAAAATAAAGCTCACTTTCTCCATAAAAGCACTTTATTTAGTGGTCATGTTTTAGTGTATATTAGTTGTCATTTAGTTGTACTGAAATGTGCTGTTAGAAATACTCTAAGAAATGTACAGAATTATCACTAAAAACCTGAAGTTCGGTTTGGATTGCATATAGGAAAAGGAGAAAAAGGAAAAAAAATAACCACATCATCTTTTTTTTTCATTTGATAAAATTACAAAAGCTAAAATAATAAACTGAAAATATTAATTAATTAGGGAAAAAAAGTCACAGTGGACTATTTACAGTAAAACACTCTTACAACAAATTGCTATTTTGTGCTCCATATGAACTGAGTGTGTGCCAGTGCAAGAGGATGCCCACCTGCATGTTCCCCAGACTGTCCCCTCCTGTCCTTACCCAGGAGGAGCTCCCAGGATGTGCCTCAAGGGAGCTGGCACTTCACACTGCTGTGTCCTTGGCCACTCTCAGCACATCCTTCCAGGAAAGCTTTCCATTAATGACACTGCTACAAGGAGGAAGCCTTCAGCAATCTGTAACAACCTTCTGTTGGCCAAAAATGCTCTGGATTTGTAACAGCTGCCTGAGAACATTTGGTGCACAGAATATAATAAAGGGCTGGCTGAAAGCTTTCTACTTAACACACAGTTTGTCTTAACTGTTTCTCCTCAGGAGAGGCCTGTGACCTTTTGCCTTTTCCCTCTCTGTCAGAAATGCCACAGAGCAGCACGAGTTCCCATTCAAGTGCCTTTTCCTACCATTTTAATTTCTGCTTGCTTTCCTGCAGCTCAGACAAGATGTAGACCTTAGCTGAGCCTGATTTGTGGAGGAAAATAGGAGCCATGTTCATGAGTAGCAACTCCCATCACTCCCCTGCCCAGCCAATACAGCAGCCTTCCCAAAATTAGGTTTTCAAATGGGCTTTGAGCTCCTTCTCTGAAAACAGGCCTTCTGTTTGAAAATCTCCCTTTAGGGAGGAAGAAACCCTTCTGGTTTTGCTGTTCCCTTCTCGCACCTCTAGCCCTCAGGCAGACCACCCAGCCTCTGGGGCAGAACTCCCTCCTGGCACCTTGGAAACCCAAGGCAGGCTCCACTCAGGACAGCTGGCCACACTGAGGGGCCCAGAGCCCAAACCAGCATGTCTGAAGCTTGGCTTGCACAAGGAGCAAAACCAAACCCTATGCCCAGAACCACTGGTACCGTTCTCCAGGCAGACAAGCCTGGTGACTCTTAACACAATGTTTTTCCCCTCAGTGAACATTAAAAAAAAAGTTTAAAAAGCTTTTGAAATACTGTACACAATTTGTCGTGGAAGCACTATGCATGGAAAAAGCAGCCTTTTCTGGGTCGTCTTCAGAGCACACAGACATTCTCATCTTAATTCAGCACCTCACTCCTACCACTCCCCAGCAGGAAGCCAAGCACAGCATCCCACTGTGTCACCCCCTCTGGCCTGGGGATGATCTGCCCAGCAACAAGGCAGCATCAGCTAAGTCTCACTTCCTGATCACAGCACAGTTCCTTCCAAACCCAGATTTACCGCTGGCTGCTTTCCAGTCTGGAAGAAATGCCTGCCTGCTTGCCATAAAAGCCAGTCCATTGGGGTCTTCCGTGTCTGATTCCAGGTTCTGAAGAAACAGCTGCTCTTGCTCACCCTACCAAGTTCCCCCAGTTGTCAGCAAAGAAAACAACCCGAGAAACACACGAAAAACACATCTGGTGACTCGGGAATTGGAGACTCCTGAAGACTCCTGCTGTTTGAAGAAGTCTGCTTCCTTCGCCTCCTTCTCTGCAGGCTGGGCTGAGCAGGACTGGTCTCGGAGGGGCATCGCAAGGACAGGCTGCTGAATGTTTTGAACCACAGGAGTGTGACAGAGCCACTCAGAAAGAGTCAATGGTGGTGCAAACTAAGCAGCTTGTGCTCTCTCACGCTGCCGCTGAGATGGATCCACTCCTCTTCCATCAGACACCTATTTGTTTGGCTCTTAGTGAGATAGCCACCCTCAGAGCCCTTTGGCAATACCATCATGATTGCACATGAAAACAAACTCATAAAAAAAGTGTAAATGAGGTCATGTTTCACCCATGAGACCACACCTGCCCCCCTCCCCCCTGCCAGAAGACAGGCTACACCTGATCTGTCTGGTACTCGGAGGCTTCTGATAAGCTTTCGGAAAAGCTCAGAAAGTTTTCCTGGTACTCAGAACAAATTATCTCAAATCTGTAATGCCTGAACTCCACTGCAAAGGTGCCAAAGTAGCACAGGAAGCACATCACTAGGCCCCACTGGATCCTGGAAGCATGCATGTGAATGCCCTGGGCCATAAGGATGAAATCTGGAAGAGGAAAGTCAAGGAGAACAACTGGGAGCAGAGACACCAACCAGTTTGAAAGACAAAAGGGAAAAAAATCTGAACAAAGTCACCTGGATAAGTCAACCCATCCAGCCACCATGAGGAGAGTGTGAATGTGATGCTAGAGATGAAAGGAATGTCAGGTGTCCAATGATGCCCATGGAGCACAGCAGCTCTCCTGGACCAGGGCTTCCTAATCCCAGATCAGGGTGATAAACATTTACAGAGGGGAAGACCTGGGTGCAGAGAAGTCAGTGATTTGCTTGAGCATCCAGCTAGCCAGGGGCAGAGCCAGCAAGTGGGGTCCTGTCTGTGGGCCCCTACCTGCCAGGAGCTTCCCAGTGGGAAATGGATCAGATCAGCGCACCCGCCGCAGGCAATGGGAACACCTTTCAACACACACTGTGAAATATTTCCTTCTCTTTAGATCACCTGCAAAATTGTCCCTTTCTGTGAAATCTGGAAGCATCACTCTATACAGTATGGCACCGAAATAGGATTGTGCCATGAAGACAGGCTGAGCAGCATTCCAAAATGCTTTGGGATCCTAGGACAGGTGGGAGAAGAGCTGCTGCAGAACATACACAGTACCTGGCTTCCTGGGGAGGAAGACCAAAGGATACAGAGCACCACACAGAGGGTGATGCTGGCTGAGAGAGCCACTCGTGGAATCCCAGCTTTCCGCCCCTCATTCTTCAGGTTGATCTTGAGGGTAAGGGCAGACTGGATCCAGCACGCCAATGTCCCGAAGCCAAAGGTCAGCGACGTGCCCACATTGTGGATCTCCTCATCATTGGAAAGCTAAGAACAAATAAAACAGTGATGGCCTGGATACAGCAGGAATTGTGATAGCTAGCTGGATTGCTGTTGAGGTGGGGTAGGGGAGAGTGGAGATCACTGAGGTGTGAGACAAAGATGCCATATCATTTCTTCTGGCAGAGGCATAAGGTATAACAGAGCCAAGGTGAGTTGACAGCTGTCACAGTCAAGCAGATATTCTGCCCAAAGCCCAAGAGCACAGTGGAAAATGCAGTTGCTTGGGGACTGTCTCCACAGCTCCCTGACAAGACTCACAAATATTAGCAGAGCTCAGAAATAAATTCTTCCTTGGCTCAAAATGATGGCCAGGGGAGACAAGGACAACCCACTGTGGGTCTTGTACAGCTCCCTGCAATGGATGCAAATTGTGCACCTTCAGTGCCAGCTGCAGGGAGCAGAGCCCCTGACACTCCCTTGAGCTAGCACAAGCCAAAGCACAAATACATGCTCCTGGTTTGGCAAGTTTCTCCCACCAAATTTCCTCTTCTGCCAATTCTCAACCCCTGGTGTCTGAGGCAACATGAACCCAACCTCTCTGGAGTGCCAGTGCTTCCCTGCTCCTTGGGCTGCCCTGTCTCATAGGGCTCAGGCAAGGCAAAATGACAGCCAGGTTCAACTAGCAAGAATCTGCAAAAAAATCCCTTGAGGCTGTAAATCCATTCAAAAAGTCCAGCATGGGCTTAAGCCAAACAATTTCCATTTTCCCTCTGCCTCTGAGGCTTTTCTAGAAAAGAAACCACCAGTCTGTAACTTCTCCCTGCAGCCTTAATTCCTGTTTGATGATTTAACAAATACCCATCAAATAAGACAATCTACATGACAACAATCTGGTTGCTGTGCCTCCACTGATACCTCCCCTTCTCTCTCTACCCTGAATTTCTTTCAAGAGTAAGTCCAAATAATCATTCAGGTAAAAATAGGATTGAGCTGGCTTTCCCAAGATAGTCAGCACCGCAAGGGACTCAGCTATAATGTCCCTCTAAAACACCCAAGGTATAATTTTCCAGAAATATGATTTAATGCCACATTCAGCTCAGCAGTCAGGCAGGGAGGAGCACAGACTAAGCTCTCATTACCGCATGTTTTCATGTTTGACAAAAGATCTAAGAAAGGATACAGGTAACTAACAAAGAACAGATACTTAGATATCAGAGAATAATCAGAATTTACAGCCAGGCATGATTCAAAGCATCTACTGTTAAATTACAATCATTTGCTCTGAAGAGTGAAAAAAGGAAGAAGTCAAAACTGTTTCTTAGTGCCTGTCCTGTACTAGAAATACCCTTCTCAGAGGCAGACAAAGCTGTTACAAAGGCTTCATAACCCCTAGCTGGGAAGCTCTTGTGATAAAAACAAGACCCTGGGTTTTGGGCTTGTACTGGGGAGTTAGGAAGACCAAGTTCATAAAAGTCAAATTATTTCACACCTCATTCAAAAAGAAAAAAAGTAAACTGTAAAGGACACCAAGTTCCTTCAATAACTGCACAATCCAAAGAGATCCTCCTCACCCCTCACAAAACAAGTACCATTTCTGTGTTGGGTCCCTGTCATGCAAAGCCAGGGAAGCAACCAGCCTGCACTGACCTTTCTCAGTTCCTGCCATTATTGGGGGTCATTACACGCAGCCCAGTGAGAGGCAGAGCCTGAGAGTCAAACCCAAGCCCCACAGACTCTAACACCTTGATTTTCACTGCAGCCCTGACAGACACAGTCGTGATCACAGGGGACACCCATCCCTACAGATGTGGCAGATGTTTGCTCCTATACTGTTGCAGAACAGAGGGAGATGGGAGGGCCCTCACCCACACACCCATCACAAGTCCTAGCACTCCTCTGCTGTGTCTCTCTCCTGGCAGGCCTGAGGATCAGCAGGAGGTGGATTTAAAGCAACATATGTTTTAAAAGAAGGACACTGAGCTGCCTGATAAATTTGTACGGGCATTTGTGCATCTGTTTGCACAGATGTGTCCGCAAACTTCCTGCTCAACTCCCCTTTTACCCAGGGCCATCTGCACCAACTCCCAGGGCTCAACAGATTCAGGAGGCTCCTGCTGTGGCTCCTAGCAGGTCAGGTCTAAGCATGCAAGTGCAAATCCTGCTGGAGACACGTGAAAAGTGATTGTGGCCCTTCATCTCGGCACACAAGTGGCAGACAGGGTGGCAGAGCAGGTAAAGGGAGGGCTGGGGCACATGATTTTCCCAGGCTCACATCACAGGTCGTTCAGAGATCCAAGCAGATCTGCTAGAAAAGCGGGGAAGTCACATCAGAGGCAGAGCAGTCCAAGCCTGCAGAGCAGTACCTGAAAGTTGCCGAGTAGGGTCATCCCAAAAGAGGCCAGACACAGTGCCACCAAGCCGCTGATGTTCAGCCAAGGGGTGAGCACCTTTGGCTTCAGCTGAATGAAGCGCAGGACAGCCACAACGAGCGCTGGGAAGGAAACACAAGGCAAGGGGCGTCAGTAGGTAGAACCTGCTGCAGCAAACACCTGCCTGGGGGCTCACAGCCACCTCCTCCACTTTCTACCTGCAGGCCAGCAAGCTTTGTGATTCTGCACAGCCCCCTCCCACTTAATCAGGGACAAGACTAAGCACAGGAAGCATTTCTCTTTCCCTTTCTCATTATGCTTTGTCTGAAAATTTTCAGGGGGAAAGAACACCTTCCTGCCTGTCTGTGAAGCTCCCAGCACACAGTCTATGCACACCATGCATTCACTTAGTAGCACCTGGACTTGCATTGTTTCACTCCACTCATGAGTCCTGAGCTCTCCTGGAGGAGGTATGTCAAACCCCACTTGTACTGAAAAGCATATGAGTGGCACATACATATTTCTGCAGGGGTTGCCATAACGCCCACTGCCTCTTCTCCTTCTCTGGAGCAAGTTCTGTTGCCACAAACATAAGCCAAAATGTTGCACTAATTTTCCATGAATAATGGAATAACCTTCCTTCCAAGCTAACAATTCCCCAAGCACTATGGTATATGATACATGATATATATGATACATCATATGATATGGCATATCCCCAGAAGATACTCTAATTGTGTATTCTTGCCCTCCCTAGTGAATGGTGCATGGAACAACACAGAAAGCCAGGCAATCAAGTTGGCCTTCAGATGTGATTCAAACCAGACCACTAAAAATCAATTTATTTGAACAGGGCAATTTGCTTGCCGTCAAACACCTTCTTATGCTCATGCTCAAATTGATAGCATGCAGCTCCATATTGTTGTAAATAGTTTGCCTTAGCAAATTAGATCTGCATTTTCCACAAAACCCCTGGTATAATATCAAAGACATGGTTTAGGAAAATAAGGGCACTGTAAGTGAAAAATACACACTTTTACCCAAACTGCAAAAGATATTTGAATTTACTCTCTCACAACTGCTCTAGTGAGTCAATCCACTCCAAATCCTTAAAAATGAGAATTTTGTTCCCATACAAAAAGAGGATTTCTATTTTTCAACCCCAGGCAATTGTTTGGGACAGCCACCTGTGACTACTCAAGCTCATGGACAGGAGAATTTCTACTTCTGCAATACAGACTCCTGAAATTATGTGATCTTTTTCTAAAACCTGATGGGAATGACAAAGGGGGATTAAAAACATTCCATGAAAAACGATGGTATTTTCAATTTCAGTAATTCCACATTTCTATCATGTTTCTGTGCCTCCTTTTGCCACTGACACACTTAAAAACTCAAAAACTTAAAAACCCTTATTGTCTGAAACAACTCTGGACAGTTTTAAATCAAACTGAGCTTTGGCATTTCCGGTCTTCTCCCTGTATATACAAACCACAGCTCTGCAATCTTCCTGCAAAGCCTAACCTCTCTTCCAGAAACCATATAATGGCATTTTCCTCTTAAACCAAGGTGGTCTTCTGCCCCACTCTTTAAGCACAATCCCACACAGCTGGATTGCCTGCTCCTGTGCTTTTAAAAGGTGGTTCTCAAAGACTGACCAGCACTCATGGACACCTAAGGCCTCAAAAGCAGATTCCTGAGGTATTCTGCTAAGAACCTCCCTGAAGAGCCTGAAGTTTGCTTTCTTGAAATTTAGGGGATCAATTCTGCTTTGATCCCCTAAATTCATTTTTTCTCATTACAACAAAGGTTCTAAACTCAACCATTTCATGATCACCAAGGTCGAGACAGTCCCCTACCATCACACCTCCCACGACTCATTTTGCAGTCTGGAGGTTGTATTTCCCCTGTTACATTTCTTTCTTTGTAGTGGGAAGAAGCAGCAATGCAATGTACAGTTCAAATCATCACATTCAAGAAGAATATGTACAGGATTTTACTTATGTTTCAGTGACTCTTAAAACATAAAGAAAGAAAAACTCCAGTTGTGGTTCCTACCTAGGAATGCTGCCATGTTCATGACTTGACTAAACACACAGCTTGCAGGAGGTGCATCACCTGCAATACTTGAAAATAGAAAGTGTATCATTGTAACTCTAGGATGACAAAGACACATAAATAGCAACCATAACCAGAGCAGTACTTGGAAGAAAATAATTCATTTACCTTATGTAAGGCGGTCTTTTGGGACCAGGTTTCCTAAGAGACACAGGCACAGGAATAAAGGTTCAAGGTTTTTCTTTCCCATTTTTCTGTAATTGTTTCATTATTTCAAAGAAACAAGTGATTGAACATAAAGCCCACAAACAGCTCTTACCTATCTGGCACACTTAGTGGGAGAATTTTGTTATCTTCCACTGCTATAAAGTACCTGTCAAGAAAAAGGAAAAAAAAAATAAAAGAAGGGAATAGTGTAAAACCTCATCCTAGCTTCCATTCTAAGTATCACTCAAACAACACCTTAAGTGTTTCAAAGCCCAGTGGCAGGACCTGATGCAGGAGCCTGTGTTTCTCTCTGCTCAAGCAGGCAGTTTTGCTTATTTCTCAGTCCATGTGCCCTCCTTTGTGTTGCAGTTGGTTTGCACAATCGAGTAGACAAATAGGGTCACTGAAAGCTTAAGCTGCCTTAAAAATAACCAGCCAGGGGGATATTCTCATTTTTAGTTTGAGTCATTTTGATTCATCAGGTTTACTATGGAACTCCATCCACAAAAGCTGTTTTAATAGAGAGGGGATGGGACAAGAACAACAACAAGCAATAGAGGTCAGACAAAAGGCTTAAGCTGCCCCTGCTGCTGAAAAACAGCATCCATAGACCATGGCCAAAGCCACATCCTATGACATAACTGCTTCTCAGCCTGAGCATAGTTGCTGATCACACATTTATCACTCCCAAATTCATGCTGCAGTCATCTGCCTGCATGCTTGAAGAGAGCCCAGCTCAGGGAAGTGCATGTCTTGTGTGTATTCTGGTAAGAAGCATAAGGAGAAAGTGAGGTGTCAGCATTAAGCTGCTGGCAGGTTTTCAGTGTGGTGCTGGATGCTGCAGATTTTGAATTTCTACCCTAAAGCAGGGCCTAAGTGTTCCTCCAAGAGCTCTGCTGAGTCATTCAAAGGAAATGTGATTAAAAGAAATTTTTACATTTTTGGCTGTTTCTTTTCAGGCAGCTCCCAGGAACACATACCAGGAAGAAAGCAAGGTCAGCAACTTGGCCTGAGGAGAACATAAACTCAGGGATAAAAATGTGATACTTCAAGCCATGAACTGGCACAGCCTGGCCCCTGCCCCTGTCATGTGCCTTCCCAGCCCCACAGTAGCTGAAGGGCAGAGCACCCCCAAAAGAATCTCATGAATGAGATGCAGCCTCCCAAGTAAGTAGCAGGGGATAACTTACACTATCCATAATCCAGCTGATGTAAACAGGGTAAAGACAAGAGGTAAAAACATCCACACGCTGCATTTCTTCCCATCCATACCTGCTGGAAACAAAGAACAAAGTAAAAACAGAGGGCTGAGGGACCCACCCTCCTTAGCTCCCCTCTTCTGAGAGCCAGAAGGGCATCCCCACAGCAGGTGCCGAGGTACCAAACTCCTCACGGCCGCTGCAAACCTTTCTGCTCTCCCTGCTGGCACAAGGGGTTAAGCTGCTGCACACAGGCAGCATCCTCCACACGGTTTGTAGCAACCAAGGCACCGGAGCCCTGGAGCGGCAGACCTTTCAACCACACCTACAGAATCTGAGTGGTTTTCAGAGTACTTCTCATCAGGATTTTGCGCAAGGTGACCACAAGACCTGCAGCTCTGACTCCCTACTCCTTCCCACACGAACCATGCAAGGCAGCCTCCCACCCAGGATCATTACCAATTCCACACACGCTGCCTCAGCAAAGCCTGCAGCACGGAGAGAGAGGGATGCCCGCTCTGTCATCATCTCCACAAAGCACACCACCGGCTCCCATCCTGGCCACAGAAAGCAGCTAAAAATAGTGTGTGGCCACAGCTAGAGCAGAGCCCCAGTGCCGGCTCCTGGCGTGCTGTCAGGAGTTGGGATGAGGTGCTGCAAACAGGATCAGCTGTCCAGCGCAGGCACTGTGAAATCCTGCATGTGGCGTAAGGATGCTGCGACACCGCCTCCCGAGGAAGCATTTGTCCTCCAGGAAGATCATGCTGGATGAGCATCTGGAATGCCGGGGCTGTTCCTGTAATATGTGCAATTCAGACACGCTGCTGTGCTGCAGACACAGAGTCCTACATCTCCATGTGAGTCCTTTGATAATGGATCAAGCATTTTCTCATGCTCTGTCCTATTCCATATATGTTCCTCCAGGCACCAGCACGGCCAAGAGACACAAAGAGAAGGGAACAGCACCAGGCTCACAGCTCCAGCACCTGCTTTACTTTCACTAGGGCAGCAGCACTTGTGCCCTTGTGCTCTGTCCCCCTCCCTGCTGCAGGGCAGGCATTCCCTGGGGCCACCAGCACCCACATGGCATAGAGAGGCACCCTGGGGTGCCAGGACAGCTTAGAGATGACAGCCTCTCATTCTAGCCTGCTTGCATTTGCAGCTCAATTACCTCATCCAGGTCCTTAAAGCCATGACCCTTCCCTTTGCCCCAAGAAGAAAGTACCTGCTTTGTCATCCTCCTCCTCTCAACTCATTCCCCTGGCCTTCCTACATCTGCAGCCATGGTCTCTCCCTGCTGTGGAGACCCAGAAGAGAGCCAGCATCTCCCCCGTGTCACAGCAGCCCCCAGCTCGCTGCTCCCCTAAGGCACTCCAAGCTGCAAAGGACATGCTGGCTGGACTGCTCAGGGCCCCAGACACCAGCTCCTTCCCTGCCTCACTGGGACAGAGGCTGAAGAGCTTGAGTGAGGTTCCCCACACCCTACAGGACGAATGGCACTCTCACCTCTACAGGTCAGCTATCTTGTTTTCCCTGCAAATGGCCTAGCAGGGGTACAAAACAACAACCTGGCAGTGCCCAGAGTCACACCACACTTGCACAAAGCCATGGGGCCACAGTTTGGTGCTGTTTGCACAGACAGCCTGGAGTAAGGCTGAATTCCAAACCTTAAAAGACAGAAAAGCAGTCAGACAAGCTCTCTTCTCTGATCTGGGAGCAGAGAGAACTGCAGACAAGGAGCATGAAATGATGTATTAAGTATGCTAATTTAAAAGACAGGCAGCTCCAGTGTGCAGACAGATCTTTAGCACAGTGAACAGATCAGAAGAAATTATCAACGAGGGGGACTAGATTTCCCATCTCACTTCTGTTCCTCTCCTCCAGCACAGGAGACACAGCATGTCACATCTCTGTAACCCGCACAGCTCCCGCTGTCGTGCCGGCAGCTATTCCATGAAGTGCTGCCCTTGCCTTTTCCTCCTGCTGCTCAGCAGCACTGCAGCAGCATCCTTTAGCTGGTGTTGGACGGTGCTGTAGTACTGGGAGACCCGTGACATCAATCTCAAGGACCACTTCCAGGTGGCAGGTGCCCCACCTGCCACAGGACCGTGTCCCTGACAGCCTCTAGCAGCACAGTGTCCAAATGCCAGAGCCCCATGCAAGGGAGACATAACTGTGGCCAAATTCCCCCCTCCTGCCTTGGCTGAAGGGAGCAGGCAGGTAACATCACCTCCTGTTCCAGCCCTTGTCTGCTCTGCAAGGTAATTACTGCTGTGCTCGACTCTCCTCTTGTCTCTGGTGGTGGCTGGACTGGGCCAAGGTAACGTAATTCTTCTGTGCAAGAGGACGGCACATCTTATTATTTACCCTTCACCTTTGGAAAGGTACAGAAGTTTCACTTACACACTAAAAGCAAACAGTAGCCGTAACACCTGTCCTCATTAATGATTTGCTGCAGCTCCTCCCCCTCCCAGCACGGAAACAGCAGCCTTCACAAGCTATTTCAGCACTGCCTGCCATGCAGAGAGGGAGGTGGCAAGGGCTTTTCCCCCAGGCAGAGCAGCGAGGCAGCACACATGGACATGAACTTCACACCAGAATGAAGTGGGAAAATGTGAAAATACTGTCTAAATACCCACTGTTTTGTGCTGAGTTCTAAAATGAAGCAAGGCCAAGACTAGTGCCCAACCTTCCCAGGGTCAGAGCAACATGGCTAGACTCACCTCTTTGGAAAACACCCATCTGGTTAATATTCACTGTGGCACACTGAGTCCCCTTCCATCAGCCACTAACAGAAAATGACATCTGCGATCATTGCATATCAAATGAATGATCAGGGCAGAGCACAGTGTCCTGATGGGAAGCCAGCTCCATAGATCAGAGATCCTAATTTCAGCCAGTTAAAAAGAAGGTTGCCACCTGTGTCTGACAGATGAAATACCAAAAGCAGGAAAGAAGGATCCCTTTCCCCCATGTTCCCAAACAGCAACACCTTTTAATGCAGGCCACTGGCACAGCCCACACAAGCTTGGATATGTTTCAGCATCCCCACGTGGGCAGAGGATGGTTTAAAAACAGGGCTCAGCTCCCGCACATTTTTCATTTATTCCCTGTTGTGTTATTCAGGTGCCAAGAACAAAATTACATGTAATCCCAACTTCTTCCAAAGGAGAAACCCCTAACATGTGCCAAACCTGCCTAGCTTTGCACTAGTGCTCAGCATACATCATTCTCAGCAGCTGCCTTTGGGTTAGCCTCCTCCTCATGGATGTCCTCAGTGTTTGTATCTTCAAGCAGGGAGACCTCCATGCACACTAAGACTAGCATCTCTAAAAGCAGACAGGAACAAGAGAACAAGGAACTCAAACATCAGCCTCTCCTGCAGCACCACACCAGTTTAGCCAAAGTAAAATGCCAAGAGTGATAGAGAAAATTACCAGAATTTTTTATAGGAAATGTAGAAACAAACTCTTTGACAGTTAATTGCTCCACGGGGATGACACAAAGCCAAACTTCCTCTCCACAGCTCTGTTCTGCATTGCTGCCATGTCCAGTGATGCCAAGTCTGAGCAGTCAATTCCAGCTGGCAATCTCTGCCAGCCCATGTTCTCCCAAATAAAACACACTGCATCCAAGAGGCAGTTGATAATTCCCCAGACCCATTTGTCTTCCATCACTAAGGCTTGCACAGGAAAGCCTTCAAGCAACAGAAAGCCCTCATGCTGCAGTGGATTCACAAAACTAACAAAAACATTTTCAGTATCACAGCTGACCCAGCCCACCTTCTCAGAAGGTCACACGTGGTTTTCCAGTCCCTCCTGACGCACACTCTCACACCAGCACTGCAAAACCCCTGTTGAGGTGTGCTCCTGCTGCCACCTAATATGAGTCAGGGTGCAGAACTGCAAAGAGTTTCACATTAGCACTGTCCTGTGTGTCTTGAGAATTTCTCTCAATGCGAGCTTACTCATCTCCAGTTCCATTTTTATGTCTAAATCTGCTCAGACTGTCAGCTGCTTGCTCTGCTTTTTATACCATTGCCCCGCTATACACCCTCAACCAATTAAGCTTCCGCTCCTCTAATGTACACACTTCAATTACAGCAGGCAGCTCACCAAACATATACTGCTGCTTGCTCAAGGTTCATTTAATATGGACATCTTAATTTCATCTGCCAAGCAAAGTTACAGGCTTCTCCTGAAGTTGCTTTCACCACAGAACACCAATGTAAGGAAGGACAAAATTACCGCATTAACAGAGACATACATCTTTTTTAAGACTAAAGCATGCAGATGCATTTGAAATGCATAATAAGCCAGAGCAACACTCCTGCATTTCACAGCACGAGGCCATTGGGTTATTTCAGAGAATAGGTACAAAGCCAGGAGCACTGCGAGATGGAGGACACTGTTCAAAACATAGAGCAAGTCATAAAGAACTGCTGCCAGTCAGCAAAAATCAAAGGGGAACAAACACATTCTGTCTTTTGGGGGAGCCCACTATAGCTCTCTGTTGCTTTTAAAAGCAAAAAATAACCACAGTCACTTGATAGCTAATCACTGCAACTGAGTGGATACCAACCAGCATATTATATAACCTGCCACCCACAAGCCACCAATGCCAACATAACAAAGCAGGGCGTTTTCAGGTTTATCTCAAGGTTTCCAGTGTGAGTGCACAATGTGAGAGATAAGATGTGACAGAGGCTTGTAAATGCATAATAAAATGGTGGGGTAACAAGAAAAGAAGTGATCCCCTCTGTCAGCAGGGTAGGATGTTCTGCTTGCTTCAGGTACCCACCTACCATCTCATGGATGTGCAGAAATGCCATTTTAATTTCATTTATAAAAGAAGACTAGGCAAAGGTAACGACATCTCTGAGTTGTGCATGGGGGAAGCCGGAGAGATGCTTCAGCAATCCTGCAACAATGTTGAGATGCAATGTTTTCACCCACGGCAACATCAGTACATGTTTCCTGTCTCATTTCACACACTGTGACTGCATTCAGTGTGCTTAATGAAATGCTCTGGCCAACATAAACCTATCAGAGATGGGCCAAGTGCAACAAAGGAATGAAACCTTCTAATCACCAAAAAACAGGGGCAGAAAAGGACCTATTGATATCCACAGTGTCTGAGCCAGAGATATTCCTGCAGCACTGCTGGGTCCTGAGGCCAGTGTACCCAACTGTACTTCAAAAAGCCCCTGTGGTTTTCTGTTCTTGCTGCCCCACAACCTTTACCCTCAGTCACACATGGGTGTAAGTACTTACAGGCCATTTAGCAACCAGTGCTGAGCTGCTGTGTTACAGCCAGAGACGCCGACTTTCAACTCTTGTGGGCTGAGTCTGCCTGTCTCGCATTTGGCGCTGCACGAACCAGACACACCCCGCTTCCAGAGCACACTCCTGGGTGTTAGAAAAGGAAAATTAATATGATTTGCCACCACAGGACTAAAGGGATGTTCTGCAGGCTTTGACCCATGGACCTATGCCAGATTATGCTGACTTCCATGAGGTCCCACTCATCATGAGCAGCTCTTGCGCAGTCATGGTCCTCAACCTGCAGATAGGTAAAGGAGGCAGAGAGAGGAGCTGGGTAAGGCAGAAGGTAACATCCAGTTCAGACAGGAGCTGGGGCAGCAGGCAGTGAAACCAGGCAGGAGCAGCCAGGGTGAGCTGAGGAGAACTGCATTTTGCAGGTGCTGTGTGTTTCTTTGCCCCAGGGATCCCATTCTGCTAGGGAGCACTCACTGCAAGATACAAGCAGCTCCTTCTGGCCTCAGGGGCTGCACAAGTCAGGTGGCAACCAGCTCCCAGTGAGTCCTCCAATGTGTGCTGGACTGCCCACCTCCCAGGGCAGATGCCCTACTCTCTCCAAGTGCAGATATTGAGGAATCCAAGTGCAGATATTGAGGAATACAAGTAGTGGCCTGGTGAGCAGCCACAGCGGGAGCTGCAGGTCGTGTGGTGTCTGGAGCCACATGCAAGGCACCATGAGCTAGCACCTACCCTTTGCCCAGTAAAGGGCATGGAGACCTGTGGCACTGGCCAAGGGTGGCTGGTCACTTAGAGACTCTGTAGAACCCAAATAAACAGCCAGAAGGCCCCAGACTAAATATCAGGATTGGAATGGGCACACAGACTGTGAGGGTAAAAAAGGCCAGGGATTCCTTAGTGCATGGAGTCCCCCTGAAGGCACTGATTCAAGCTGTTATGGTGTTACTGCACCATGATTAAATTACTTAAAGAGTCCAGGCTTCTGGGACTCTGATGTGGGAATCCCAGGGTCCAGCCAGTGAGGAAAACCTGTCTGACTGTGTAAATATGGGGTGTGTGGGGAGCCAAGCAAGGCACACATTAGCTTAATGGAACCACCCATTAAGCTAATGTGAAAGGGCTTTGGTCCCAGCAGTGACAGCCTGGGGTGGTAGAAGTGTGACTGACAGAGTGGCTTCTGGGTCAGACAGGAAAGTCTCCTTAACACAGAGATGCTCGAGACTGGGGCCACTTTCACCAGACTTCTGAGACACAAGGGAAATCTCTAGCAGAGTCTCAACACAGACCAAAGCCACACAGTCTCACACCACCACCACCACCAGCACCACCACAAGGGTGTATCTTCCCCTTGAGAATCCTTTGGTTTGGGATGCTTGTGAGAAGGGCACTTACCTCAAAATCCCAGCCAACCCCCAAAGTAAAGAGATGTTGGAAAATGCGGAGGGCTATCTATCGCCTCAAAAAAACAGTAAGACAGCAAAGCTCTCCCTGCTTCAGTTGTGCTGTGAGGAAAGAGTCTCTGAAACCATCTCCTTGCCCTGGAAGCAATACAGAATTGTAGACTGATGTTATGGCAAAGCCCAGGAATTCAGAGGCACTGTGCAGACAGGCTGTCCAGTGATTGTCCTCCACCTCAGCCACCCCAATCTAATGAAGCAGCAACAAGCAGACGGAGTGTATAATATGTACATATTATAATGTAATATGTACATATTACATAATGTACAGAGGTCTTGAGAAGGTACTAATAAAGTGATAGAGGTGTTTTATTTGCTCCTCAGTTCCAAACATCACAAATGTCTTCAATCATTTCCAATGTGCACGAGCAAGTAAAGCCAAGACACACATTACATTGGAAAGGGGAAGGAAGTCTGCCCAAAAGGTTTGTCCCATTTTCAGGAAAACAATGTAAGTGTTGGGAGTGGCAAAGAACACTTAAGAAGGAGGTGAAACTTCCAAGTGTTGACTTACAAATAGCTTTGAAGGTAAGGAAAAACAGACTAAGCCCAGGGGAACAGACTTGGCAGAATGTTATCCCTGATCATATTGTCTCCTTCTCCTGTAGTTTATGGATGAGAGTACACGCCCTGCAAAGCCAGAAAAATTCCACGTTTCCCTGCCTTTTCTACTCTGCCACTGTTTTTTCCCCACCAAACAGAAAATACACACTCAAGCTGCAGAGCTTCTCATGGAGTGTAAGCAGGGCTTCTCCCACCTGTTTACGCTGTCTTTCATCTCTCTTATCCCTTTCACCCCTCTTCTATTCACCTTTTGGAAGCCTATGCTCCTTTCTTCACTGCACTTTACAGCTCTACACTTTTGGAGAGATATACACTGTCCCCAGAGTGGCATTTCCTTTGGTAAATGCAACTTGCCATGGGGAAAACACCCAAGACCTGTGAGCTGTTAGGGACTGTGGCAGAGCACACTGTTTCTCAGGACAGTTTTCCCTCACCAACCTCTTCAGCCAGTGGATTTACTCCTCCTCCACAGAAAGAGGTCCTCTTCTTCATGTATTAACGACCAAAGCCCCAGAGGAGCAGCAACAAGGGAGGTGATGGGGCAGAGGTTGAACTACAAGGAATGGATGTGCAGTACCCATGACTTGGCTTTTGTCATTCCACTAAAGTGGCCCTCTCTGGCACAGGGATTGTCTTTTGACTCTGTTGAGACCTGTGGAAAACATTTGCCCTGAGAGGCAAAGTATCATAGACAGGCATTTCTGTGGTGTTCACCACTCCACTGCCAGCATTCCTTATTTGTAGGAATTCATTTCCTTTGTTTACCAGTGTCTCAAGCTGCTACAACCATAAATTGCTGTTTGTACGGTGTTTGGGTGAGCTACAGTAGGAAGGTGCCAAACAGCGTTTTCCTTCAAGCACAACACAATGTATTAGTACATGCCCTCCTTTCCCACTGGGCTCCCCTTTCAGTTTTGCTTTTCATTATTCTTTTAAAATAAGATCTTAGGGGAAATTGCACCTTGATTCCCATAATGGACAGAGGGGAGCAGGGGAACAGCTTCCAGCTGCTAAACAGTAGCCAAGCCCGTGTGAGCAGCCTCTACATTGCATCCAGAGGGATTATTACTTTTTAGGTCTACTGAAATATTTTCAGAGACAGGCTTTGCACATTAAATCACCCCTAGGAGCGTTCAGCTGGGCCAAGACCACACTGGGGAGGCTCCCTCTGACAAAGATGTGGCCATCCTCAGTGTCTTGGCCAGGCAAAACCCATTCCTGCAGTCCTGTGGTGCCACAATTGAAGGGCTACTGGCTCTTCTGGTTTAGGCAGTCATCGCTATTAATACCAGTGGTTCCTCACGGGAAGCAGGAAATAATACAGCAAGAGCAGAAGTTCTCTCCCTAAGTACCTGGACCTGCCCCAGCTCAGGAAATTGCAGGGAGGATGCTGGACACTCTCCTCACCATTGTAACAGATCAGTCCACATCCTCCAGGCTTTTTTGCTCCCTTCCCTTTGCTACCCATGGGAGAGGCAGCCCAGACCTCTCCCCAGCAGGCAGGATCATCCAGCAGCAACCTCAGCATTAAAAATGTGCAATAAACCCCATGCAAGGTAACCTATAGCCGTTCTCAAAGTTCCTTTCATGGTTCTTGAAGCTCCACCAGTCCTTCCCTCTCCTCCAATTCACTCTGTCCTTCTCTCTCCATCTGTTCCCAATGTGGTTTTCTTCCTTTTACTCTCATCCTGCCCTCATCCCTGAACCTCAGGTGACATCTTCTGCAACCTGCAGGGACCTAAGGTAAGTAGAGACGTTTGCAAGTCTTCTTGAGACAGCAAAATGCCGAAATTATTCCCATTTTAGACAACAAGGCCAGTGATTTGCTTGCTGGGATGTCACACTGGAAATCAGTGACGCAGAGGACTCTCTGAGTCCTGGTCCAGGCTGTCTACTGCAGCAGCAGCCTCCTCACCTGCCACCACCCCCCCTACCAGTGTATCCTTCCCAATATATTGCCCAGGATCATCTTTCTCTTTTCCCACAGACCTTTCTTTGCTTCTTTGCTCCAACTTAACCTGCAAACACAGCTCATTGCTTCAGCTTGGACTGTAGGATTGGAAACTTAAAGTCTCTCTTTTGGGCCAAACTGCAATCTTGCAATCTCAGGCTGCCCAGAAATGGCTGGGGGAAGAGAGAAAACCATGGACATGACATTTCTTCCAAGAGAAAAAACCAAAACAATTGAAAACGTTGGTGTTCTTACAAGCACACATCCCGGCTCTGCATCTGAAAAGCAAACACTGCAGCACAAAGAATCTTTAAAGGGGAAATGAAACAACTGCACTTTCAGCACCCAGATTCAGAAAACGCTGACAGCTGGACATGGATAACCACAAGAAAACAATCTGACTTTTAACTGTTCAGCAGTGAAATCAGGAGCAAGACATTTGTCAAGCAAATAGGAGTCCCCTGTCTTCATCCCACTACCATAAGGCAGAAAGTGGGCAAGAATCAAGTCCCCTTCTTTTAGGCACTGTCATCTGTTTGAGCAAGACACAACAGGCAGTCGGTGTCAGGATATACCTTTCACACACTGCTCTCCTCCATACTGAATTGGTATTTCTAATTAACCATGCATGTGTGCATTGCCATTGAATGAGGATCGTGTGAATGTTGATCAGACAACCCTTAGGGTCACTTTCACAAGTAGCTTTGCTTAAAAATGAAAAAACTAAAAAAAAAAAAAAGGAAAAAAAAGGCAGGTTAACTCATAATTTCTGCAACCTTTATAGCTTAAGGGCTCTGAATCAAAGGTCTGGCACAAGCATGATGCTCTAACTCAAAGCTACGACTGAGATCCCCAGCGACCCTGGGACATCAGCACCCACCATCTTTCTATCGCTCCGAGAGAGGATCTCGCCCTTCCCTCCCTGAGGCACCACAGCGCAGCTGAACGCCTTCCTCGACACCTTAAATTCCCTCCAGGGAATTGAACCGGACACAGCCAGCACGTCCTGACAGGACATCCTGACAGGATCTATCAGGGGAAGGCAGCACCTGTCCCACCCCACAACCTGAACCCAGGTGAGCTTCTTCCCAGACCCCTATGCAGCAACCTGGCCGAGGACCCTGCCGAGTCCTGCCACCACCAGATCCCTCAGGCCGAAGGGATGGATTCCCCAGAGGGATTCACGGGTGACAGGGATGCCGAAATCATGACCTGGGAGAGCTCTTCCACAGCTGGGTCCCTCCTTCAGGCCCCGGGTGAGGCGGCTCTCATGCCCTGAGCCAGCCCGTGTGCACCTGCGGTGACACAGCGGCGGGGCGCTCCCGGCTGCCCCCTC